TAAAAATGTAAGTAATTTCTCTATACCCACTTTGATGAGAGTTTTTTTCATGAAAGGATGTTGAATTTTGCCAAATTCTTTTTTCTGCATCTATTGAGATGATCATGTGATTTTTATTTTTCCTTTTGTTAATGTTGTGTATCACATCAATTGATTTGCAAATGTTGAACCATCCTTGCATTCCTGGAATAAATCCCATTTGATCATAGTGTATGATCTTTTTTGCACACTGCTGGATTCCGTTTCCTAATATTTTGTTGAGGATTTTTACATGTATATCCATCAGAGATATTGGCCTGTAATTTTCTTTTTTTGTAATGTCTTTTTATGGTTTTTGGTAACAGGGTAGTGCTAGACTAGTAGAATGATTTTTGGAGTGTTCTGTCCTCTTCAATTTTTTTGCAATAGTTTGGGAATGATAGGTATAAGTTCTTCTTTATATGTTTGTCAGAATTTTCCTATGAAGCTGTCCAATCCTAGACATTTTTTCTGCGAGGTTTCTATTTTTTAATTACAAATGCAACTTCACTCCTAGTGATTGGTCTGTTCAAATTATGTTTCTTCTTGATCCGGTCCTGGTAGGTTGTATGTTTCTAGAAATTTGTCTATTTCATCTAGGTTGTCCAATTTGTTGGCATATAACTGTAGTATTATTATCTTATTATTATGTATGTAGTATTCTCTCATGATTTTTTTGTGTCTCTGCAGTATTGGTTGTTATTTCTCCTCTCTAATTTCTTATTTTGTTTATTTGGGTCATCTCTCTTTTCTTCTTGGTGATCCTGGCTAAAGGATTATCAATTTTGTTTATCTTTACCAAAAAACAGCTCTTGGTTTCACTGATCTTTTCTATTATTTTTTAATCCCTATTTTATGTATTTCCTCTCTGACCTTTATTATTTCTTTCCTTCTACTAACTTTGGACTTTGTTTCTTTCTCTTTTTATAATTCCTTTAGGTGATAGGTTAGATTGTTTGAGATTTTTCTTGTTTCTTTATAAAAGCCTGTATCACTAAAAACTTCCCTCTTAGAACTGCTTTTGTTGTATTCCACTGATTTTGGAGTGTGGTGTTACCATTTTCATTTGTCTCAAGGTATTTTCTGATTTACTCATTGACCTATTGGTATTTTGGTAGCACGTTGTTAAGTCTCCATGTTTGTTCTTTTCCCATTTTTCTCTTTGTAATTGATTTCTACTTTCATACTGTCGTGGTTTGAAAAAATGTTCAGTATAACTTCCATCCTCTTAAATTTGTTGAGACTTGTTTTCTGGCTTAGCTTTTGATCTATCCTCAACATAATAAAGGCTCTTTATAACAAACCCACAGCTAACATCATACTCAACAGTGAGAAGCTGAAAGCCTTTCCTTTAAATTAAGGAATAAGACAAGGATACCCACTCTTGCCATTTCTATTTAACACAGTATTAGAATTCCTAGCCACAGGAATCAGACAAGAAAAAGAATTAAAATGAATTCAAATTGAAATGGAAGAAATAGTAACTGTCACCATTTGCAGATGACATGATACTTTATATAGAAAATCCTAGAGTCTCCACCCCAAAACTGTTAGAATAAACAAATTTAACAAAATTGCAGGATACAAGATTAATATATAGAAATCTATTGCTTTTCTATACACTAACAATGAACTGTCAGAAAGAGAAAGTAAAAACACAATCCTATTTAAAATCTCATCAAAAAGAATACCTAGAAATAAACAATCAAGGAGATAAAATATCTACACTCTGAAAAATTTAAAACATTGATAAAGGAAACTGAGAACGATACAAAGAAACTGATATCCTGTGCTCTTGAATTGGAAAAATTAATTATGTTAAAATGTCTATACACCCAAAGCAATATACAGATTTAATGCAATCCCTATCAAAATACCCAAGACATTTTTCACAGAACTAGAACAAATATCCTAAAATTCATATAGAATCACAAAAGATGCTAAATTGCCAAAGCAATCTTGAGAAAAAAGAACAAAGCTGGAGGTTATCATGCTCTAAGACTTCAGACTGTACTACAATGTTACAGTAATGAAAAAGTATGGTACTGTCACAAAACAAGACACATACATCAATGAAAAAGAACAGAGATTCCAGAAGTAAACCCTTGTACCTATGGTCAATTAATCTATGGCAAAGAAGGTAAAAATATAAAATGGAGAAAAGACAGTCTCTTCAACAAGTGGTTCTGGGAAAACTGGAGAGCTACATGTAGAACAGTGAGATTAGAACATTTCCTCACAGCATATACAAAAATAAACTCAAAATGGATTAAAGACCTAAATATAAGTCCTGAAACCATAAAACTCCTGGAAGAAAACATAGGCAGAACACTCTTGACATAAATTGTAGCAATATTTTTTGGATCTGCCTCCTAAGGCAAAAGAAACAAAGCAAAAATAAACAAATGGGGCCTAATTAAATTTAAAAGCTTTTGAACAGCTAAGGAAACCACTGACAAAATGAAAAGACAACCTATAATATGGGAGAAAATATTTGTAAATGATATGGCTGACAAGAGGCTGATATTCAAAATATATAAACAGCTCATACAACTCAATATTTAAAAACAAACAATGTGATTAAAAAATGGGTAGAAGACATGAATAGACATTTTTCCAAAGAAGACTTAGAGATGGCCAACAGGCACATGACATTGCTAATTATGCTCGACATTGCTAATTATCAGAGAAATGCAAATCAAAACCACAGTGAGATATCACCTCACACCTGTGAGAATGGCTGTCATCAAAAAGTCCATAAAAAGGGCTTCCCTGGTGGCACAGTGGTTAAGAATCTGCCTGCCAATGCAGGGGATGCGGGTTCGAGCCCTGGCCAGGAAGATCCTACATGCAGCAGAGCAACTAAACCCGTGTGCCACAACTACTGAGCCTGGGCTCTAGAGCCAATGAGCCACAACTACTGAGCCCACAAGCCACAACTACTGAGCCCATGAGCCACAGCTACTGAAGTCCATCACCTAGAGCCTGTGCCCTGCAACAAGAGAAGTCACCACAATGAGAAGCCCATGCAACGCAATCAAGAGTAGCCGCGACTCTAGTTCACCGCGACTAGAGAAAGCCCGCACGCAGCAATGAAGACCCAAAGCAGCCAAAAATAAATAAATAATTAAATAAAATTTTTTAAAAGCTATTAAAAAAAAAGTCCATAAATAACAAATGTTGGAGAGGATATGGAAAAAATGGAACTCTTGTACATTGTTGGTGGGAATGTAAATTGGTGTAGCCACTATGGAAAACAGTAAGGAGGTTTCTCAAAAAACCAAAAATAGAACAACCATGTGATCCAGCAATTCCACTCCTGGGTATATATCTTAAGAAAATGAAAACACTAACTCAAAAAAATACATGTGCCCCAATCTTCATAGCAGCATTATTTACAATAGCTAAGATATGGAAGCAACCCAAGTGCCCATGAACAGATGAACAGATAAAAATGATGTGGTATATATACATATATGCACAATGAAATATTATTCAGCCATAGAAAGGAATGAAATCCTGCCATTTTCAGCATCATGGATGGACCTAGAGAATATTATACTTAGTGAAATTATTCAGACAAACACAAAAATATATATCACTTATATTTGGAATCTAAAAAATAATACAAATGAGTGTGTATAGCAAAACAGAAACAGATTCACAGATATAGAGAATAAACTAGTGATTACCAGATGGGAGCGGGAAGGGCAGAGGGGCAAGTTAGGGGTATGGGATTAAGAGATACAAACTGCTATGTATAAAATAGATAAGCAACAGGGATATATTGTATAGCACAGAGCCATTATCTTTCAATAACTTTGAATGGAGTATAATCTATAAACATACTTAATCACTATGTTGTACACCTGAAAGTAATATAATAATGTAAATCAACTATACTTCAATTAAAAAAGTAAATTCTAATGACATCTGATTGGAATTACACTGTATTTATAAATCAGTTTGAAGAAATTCAATGTTCTTTCTCTCACCATCAGGGGACTTGTCTTTCAGGTTCAATATTTTTTAAGCTAATTCAGTTTCTATCATTTAAAAATAAAGAACCAAACCTATACTAAATAATTTATTTAGGTGTTTTATATAGTACTTAGCAAAAATTATATACTTGAAGAGATAATATTTATAATGAAAGTGACACTAGAGATTTTCACATTATCAACTTTGTTTCTCATAATTAAAGGAAAATTATGAATAATCAAAATTAATAAGGATTATTTCTGTAATCTTAGAACATTTTCTATATTATCTATTTATAAAATTAAGATTAGCTAATTTATGATTATTTAATATTGGTCATTTATCATTACCATTACTGAATATCAGGGGCCAATGATTAATGATATTGACTATATATATATATATTTTTTTTTTTTTTTTTTTT